TCAGGTGATTTTACTTTAAACAAAACTCCTGAACAATTATTCATGCCAATTTCAGACTCAAACACAATAACATTTGGATTGCCATGCTCAAGGTAATCTATGAAGTTCAACACTGCTTGTATGTTTTGACATTTTTAAATTTGGTTTTTAGTATAATAAGCATTACTGTACTTCCTTTCAAGAAAATAGAAAACATGCAAAATTTTCTCAACAACTATTGCATGCATAGCATGTAAATGGTACATTTGTATACAGACAGGTATACATGAATATTGTCCATCCAATATCATACACCATTAGAACAATTCAAGATATTTTTTCCCTAAGCTAAAACCACATATCTTTCTTTCAAAAATTCTGTTTTAATCAAAACTTAAAACTGTATAAATGTACAAGCCAAGCTGGTTTACAGGATAACAAGACTACAGCGAAGTGTACCAAAGTACTCACAAACCAGTATTGGTACGGTCCTCTTTGTAATCTCAGGTCATACGGTGGCTTGTCAGATAAAATACTTATATTTAATTACATGTAATACAGACTTAATAATTCAAAATTTAAAAAAGAAATTATTTGATTGTTTTTGCACACAGTACTAGCTTTAAAAAATCCTAAGAAATTTTCATGTGATAACTGCCAAATGCACTGAAAGGAAGAAAATAATGAACTGTAGTCAAAAGCTTACCGAGGCTGTATGAGAGAATGATTGTCGGTCAATGCTGATGGGATTCTGGTTCAACCAAAACTCAGTAAACACCTACAAGTACAAAAACATTTCTTTTAGGTCTGAATACATATCCACTTACACCACAGGTTAGCACAGGTATTCTATGTTCTAAACACAGGCCTTTCAAAAATTGCCAGTGTTAGTATTTTTACCAAGATGAAATCATGATTGCATAAGCCACAATTTTTGATGGAGAGAAATTCGGTAAGACGTTAATTAAAATTGCAATACCCCTATCTTTGTACTGCCTGTTTCTAATCTTCCTGAAAGCCCTGAAACCTGATTTGTTGATGCAAACTGTGGATTGTCACCACCCCTACTGGACTGTCACCACCCCTACTGGACTGCCAGGCCCCCTACTGGAGTGCCATGTCCGCTACTGGACTGTCATGACCACTCCTGGACTGTCACCACCCCTACTGGACTGCCATGCCCCCTACTGGAGTGAAATGACCCCTACTGGACTGTCATGACCCCTACTGGACTGTCATGACCCCTACTAGACTGTCATGACCTCTATTGAGCTGTCAGGACCCCTACTGGACTGTCATGACATCTACTGGACTATCACAACCCTACTGGACTGTCATGACACCTACTGGACTGTCATGACCCCTAATGGACTGCCATGACCCCTAATGGACTGCCATGACCCCTACTGGACTGTCAGCCCCTACTAGGCTGTCAAGACCCCTACTAGACTGACACGCCCATTACTGGACTGTCATGACCCCTACTGGACTGTCATGACCCCTACTGTACTGTCACGCCCCCTACTGGACTCATGGCCCCTACTGGACTGTCACGCCCCCTACTGGACTGTCACGCCCCCTACTGGACAGTCATGTCCCCTAATGGACTGTCACACCCCCTACCTGTATGAGAGTGTCTGATCGGTAGGTCTCATTGTCTCCCTTGAGTTATCACTGCTGCTGTCTGGGCGTGCTGCTTCTGGGCTGACACAAAGCTCGACTTCAGTAGACTGGGTCGCTGTGGGGAAGGCGGAGAGGAGGGCATGTTAAAGGACTTCCTGTAAAAGGGGGAATAATTAATAACTTTTTGTAAAAAGCATTTTGTCAAATTCTCACATTTTTTAAATATCTCTCCATCTTATTTCCATGGCGTTGCTACTACATGTAATTACCCTGCCATTGGAGAGTGGACAACTGGACTACGAACAACTGCTTGGACTGTGGGCATCTTAGGGAGACTGTCTTTATTCAATGGCTTTCTACTAAGCCAACTGTGAAATTGATTTGAAAGTTATTTTTGTGTATACTCACGCGTAGAAATATACACGGGGAAACGTGCGTTAAAGTGACGTCACAATGAGGCAGTATATCGACGTTAGTAAAAATGAAGCGATATAGGGCAGCGACAAATTCAATATTTAGTATATTTTAGTTCCCTTCAAACATGTAAAATGTAAATATAAGGAATGTTTGTAAGTTTTGTGTGAATTATTGGTGTGTGAATCACTCAGACTTGCACGTAGGCATATTTTACATGAAGCGCTAACGCGCTTCATTAAATATGCCTACGTGCAAGTCTGTGTGATTCACACACCAATAACTCACACAAAACTTAAAAACATTCCTTAAAGCTGAACAATACTCGTAAATAGGCATAGTCCGCCATATTTCCCGTTCTTCAACGCTCTCCCTACAACTCGTATATAAGGAGCAGATCGCTAGTCAGTTCAATGTATTTCACTATAGAGATCCGACGAGTGTAGACGTACATCTTACAAAGCGTGCTACTCAATATCGATGAAATTATCAAATTTTACGCATTTTTTCCGAAACAGGACAAAAGTATCATGGAAAATGCAGGTCAATACATTATTTACGAACAGAAAATGCACATAAAAACAAGAAATAAACGCAAAAAATCTAAGACCACGATAGGAGTACTATATGTCGGCCACGAGTTTCGAGTGTGCAATCGGGTGTAACGAAATCGAACGGTTTATATACCCGTCTGACAGTGCCTATTTATGAGAATTGTTCAGCTTTAAGTAAACTAATGCGAATTAAAATTCTACTTCTACGGCCAGGCGTCAGTAAGGGCTATTATGACGTCATTTGCAAATCACGTCACCTTATGCAGGAGCAGATGCATATTTGACATAATGTTACAGTGTCTGTACACACATTTTAGTGATTAACCCAATTTTCCTTAGTTTTTCACTCAAGAATGGCATAAATTTGACCAAGGAAATGTGGCATTTGACCCAATTTTGCCATAAGACATGCCTCAAAATTTTATTCGAATTAGCTTCGCTTAGCGTTCACACGGAGCTAATGCGAAGTAATTTACTGCTCAGTAAACTAATTCGAATTAAACTAATTCGCATTAAATTCTCCGTGTGAACGCTAAGCGAAGCTAATTCGCAGTAACTTTACGTTTAATTCGAATTTTTAAACACTCCCTAAGAACAGGGCATTACAATGAAGCGCATTGAAGTGGTAAAATTTTCCGTTTGGATGAAAAGTTCTGAGTCATGTTTTGAACGTCAATTATAACATAATGACACGCCCATATTTTTAGAAACGAGAAAGAAATATTCGTCGCAGTTTTAGGACACCCCATTCTTCGCGACAAGCATCATGAGTTACACTGAAATGGAGCTTTAAAAAATTAGAAGAGGGAGTTAGAGACTCCCCGCTTCTGTAAAACACAAATTTCAACGAGTACGTACATATTTTTGAACTTATCATGTCTATTGAAGTTGCCACAACACATGTTTCGGTCGAACACGTGTTTACTCGGTGTTTATTTAGATCCTCAATTTGATTGGCTATTATATTTATGGAAAACCTGTTCTACAGGTATTTGAACAAACAACTTGACCGTTTTATCCATTTCTAAAGAAATGGGCGTGTCATAAGATGACAATAAACACTCTAAAGATAGCTCAAAACGTTCCATTCGAACGGGAAATTTTACCACTTCAATGCGCTTCATTGTAGTTTAGATGAATTAAGTTGAAAACTTTTTTCTGTAAAACTACATGTATAAGCATGACCGCGAAAGCTTCTCCGCTTTCCCCTTAGTCTCTAACCATATACATATCCCCTTCCCTTTTCAAGATTCCCATATCCGTCACTGATATGTGTGCATGGATGTTCAATTGGATTAGATGAGGGACTGGTAGATTTTTGCAAAAGAATTCTGGCCCTGACCTGGAAAGGTTGAAAAAATGACTAATTCCAGAGACGTAGCTTCTTGTGTGACAATTTTGATGTTTTACTACTTTCCTCTTTTTTTTTTTGACTTGTCAAGTTTTTCGGGTAAATAATTTTTTTCAGATAATGTGCTTGGAATCAACATGATAAAAAGTTAACACAATATGAAGCACTGACATAAAGGTAAGATATAGAATTTAAAACAAAAGATATTTGAGATTCATTACCCCTGCATATTTTGTTGAAAATATATGTTCACCTCACACCATGATGCTCTCGCAGTAAAATAATTAAATAAATCCATATTAATTAACATACAAATTATTAATCAGTTAACGTATATCAAATTGATAATTTGGTTAAACAAATTAGTAATCTGTTTAAGCAAATTACTAATTTGTTTAACAAATTAACAATTTGTTATATAACAAATTAATTTAAAAGATACTTCTGCCCTAATACGCTTCCGTAACCGTGGGTAAAGAGAGATAACTCTAATGTTTTATGCTGATAGCAGCTCAATCTCCTATGCAGAGTTGTCGTTCGTTCCTCTCTCAAGTGAATGTATGAGCCGATGGTAGAGAGTGATAGCAGCTGTCAACAAATAAACAATGTGAGTGTCACGCCGGTTGACGAAGAATGTATTGTCTTTAGAACGAGTAAGTACTCAATATAAACAAATGATAAACGAACGCATGTTTACAGTATAGGAGGTTAATAACTTAAGGCATGTGTACCCTTTTTGAAAAGACAAATTTTGTTTCATGATGTAAACCTCAGTCTGAATTTCCTCTGTACGCTTATAACTAGGCTGAAGTACTGTCAAATGATAGTGAAAACAAATGATAGTGAAAACAAAGCAAATTTAGTGTTCATTTATCATATCTTTACACAGAAAAGATGATTAAGATTTTCATGTTAATAATGGTGAACATAATGATAAAAATGAATACATGTTTAAAATTCTTTGTTGCAAACTGTAGAAAACGCATTTAACCTGATCTGTTTTCAAAATGTGCATGTAGGCTTGATTTTTCATGTTTATGTTTTATTGTATTAATTTATTTACTGCATGTATTACATGTACTTGATTGCACCACATGTAGGCTAGTTGTTAGATTGAATAAATAAAATAAAATAATAATAATGATTATAATGTTGCAGTTTATCTTACGATCAGAAGTGTTAAAGATGTACAAACAGATGCTGCGACTTGTCAGAAAAATCCCTGACCAAAGACAACGACAGCAGCTGCAACAATTTATCCGGCAAGACTTCGAACTCAACAAGAATATAGAAGATGAGGTAGGAATGAACATGATGAATATCGCTAAAAAATGCTATAATTATAACAATGTTGATAAATGATGACAGTTTATCATCAATTTTAGCTGCAATGTAGCTCTCTCCTCCCCCTCCCCCCCCCCCGGGTGTTGTTTTTTTTTACTCCGGGGGGGGGGGAGGTATCAATTCACATTTATTTACAGGGTTGGAAGGCAACATCCATTTTGTCGGACCCAAAAACTTAACTGTTAGCATTCGTGAGGCCGTTAGGCCGAAGGCAGACAATTTAGTTTCAGGGTCGACAAAACACATTTTGCCAGAGAGCACGGTCAATAAATGTTTTATGGTTTATTATATTATTTTGTTGACATGCATTATCTTGTGCTATCTTCCATGAAATAAACTGAGATTAAGCTGTCTTGTCGACAGGTCCAACGTCTCACCCAGTAATCAAACATTGAATTATTTAATGAAGTAAAACATTAGAATTGTTAGACTTTTTATGTCACCTGAGTAAAATCAGGCGACTTATTGCTATCTGTTTTCGTCCGTCATCGTCTGTCGTGTGTCTTGCTTAAACATTTGAACATTTCAGCTTCTCCTCTGCATACAGCATCTATGGTTGAAGGGGAACAAATTTTGTGAATTTCACAGTCCCTGACTCCCTGGGCCTGGGGTTGGGGCTTAAACCAGTAAAAAATGAAATCTTTAAATATCGTCTTCATAACTCCTGGACATCAAATAAAGTCCTTTGCCAAAATTTTGAAATTCATGGCCCGAGGGTCAGAGGTTCTAGTGCTAGGGCAGGGCTATATATAATAGATTATATAGTGAAAATGCATTATTCTTTGAAAATCTTCTTCTCTGCTCCTGGGTATTAAATAAATCAACTAAGTACATAGTTATGATGAGCAAGAGTGCCTCTACCAAAATTGTAAAACTTATGGCCCAGGGTCAGGGGTTCTGGTGTTTGGGTGGGACTCTATTGATTATACATTTAAAATGGATTAATTCTTTGAAAATCTTCCTCTCTGCTTCTGGGTATTAAATAAACTAGCTAAGTACATAGTTATGATGATCAAGAGTGTCTTTACCAATATTGTGAATTATAACATAATTATACAATATGCAAAATTACTGTATACAGAGAAATTTTTGCCCCCGTTTTATTTTAAAAAGGATGACATGTTGCTTTGCTGCTAAATTAGCCCCTTTCACTTTCTCCTTGAATGGGCGAATTTAAAACAGGTTGAATTCAATTTTCATCTCATAATTTCTTAAACAGAATTATGACTGGGCAGATTTTAAAACAGAGCAAAATTGTTGGCAAGTTTAAAAGGAATTTCATAGGTAAATTTCTTTTGGCAAAACCTTTTAATGGGTACCACCAATTTTGACCTCTTGATCTTTGACCTTGGAGTTTGACCCATTTTTA